TGCTTTTGCATGTATCTTTTTTGGCTTTGCCACAATTTTTAAGCTTTACTTTTCCTTTTCCTTTACACCTTTTTTTTTAATAATAACACCCCAATAATACCTGTAGGACAACAATAACAATCCCCAACAATAGGAAAAATAAAAACATTCATACTCATTTCCTTTCTTAAATATAGGAAGGTAGATAAATAGTTTTTAGGCTCAGGGGTTCTGTTTAAGAAACTTGCAACCAGATATTTATACACTGTTTTTCCTCAATTATACTTTCCAAGACAAGATATATTATCTATTAACTTAAAAAACCCACAATGTGCGATACCTAGTTTATTAGGGAATAAAAACTCTGACAAACCTAAAAGTATGTACAACCTACAAAAGTCATCGACATCCTTGTCGTTTTGTCGTTTAACAAGTTCATTAAAAATCATTTCCAAAGTAACATGTTTCCCAATAAATAGTCTCCTAGTATGACAATCAATGTCTGCTTCTACAATTTTTACATTTTTGCCTACTACACAAAGTCCTAAACCTAAACACACATCTAACAGTGTAAAACATACTATCTCAGACCTTATATTAAACCCTCCTCTTTTTTCAACCCATTTACTTATTAATTCACTAAGCAATGTTCTACTAATTTTAACCTTTCTACCCAATGACATCAACCATTTAAATGGTGTTGACTCAATACAACCTCTTTGCTTTGTTGTAAGAATGTTATTTACTTCACTTAAATAATTTGTCCTATAAACATGTCGCAAATATACCTGAAAATCACAATAAATAATTACAATTATCACAAAGAATATCCAATATTATACAAATAGATACAATATTCACCTTCTTAACATTTAAAAATCCATCATCTATGCTTCCATGTCTTTCCATTTCAAACTGCAAATACATGTACTGGGTAAACAAAATTGGAATTTACATGAAACATTGTCCATTTTATTTGTTACATTCTCTGTCAATTTTTTTAATACTGTCAACTAGTCACAAATCAGGTTAGGTATAAGTTTTACGACAAATTACTATAAATGCCAACTAACTTACCATACAGTTTCTGATTGGATGACAGAATAAAAATAATTTACATTGTCAATGCATATACTATTCACTCATCTTTTGTTTGAGTGTACACTTTTAGAAACAATCTCATAGAGTAATGTCAAATTAAGTTTAAAGACAAGGGAATAAAATCTGTTTTCATAACCCATGTGTCTAGGGTCGCTACCAAACACAAAAATGTCCATAATATTGTTTGATATTATAGAAATTTGTTGGTGCTTCATTCCTCTACAAAATCAACATCTCCCAAACAGATTACAACATTTTTCAGCATTCTCACCAAAACCAACCAGTCAATTGATTTCCTCTACAAGACACAAACAACCAACGAATAACAGTGTTCCCACAAATTCAACCCCACCTACACCAGCCATCAAGCCTCATGACACACGAACCATCATCACGGTTCCTTCCACTCAAAGCCTGTGACAGTTCATTCTACCACGCCAGTTCCCTCAGCCCCTACAACACAAGCCAGTCCAGGGGAGCAACCAACTACCACCTTGTGACTTCTTATCCTTCCTCACCACAAAGTGTTTCTACAATAAAAAACATCAATACTCAAACCACAACAACAACTACTAGCAACAAACAGCAAACCCAAAACCACCATTAAATCTGAAAGCTCAGTATCATAATCATATAAATCCAACACAAGTAATAAGAGATGGAGATAAATAAATTAAATTACAATAGCCAAAGGACAGACAACAAATATGTCACAGTTTTTTAAAGCAAAAAAATCATATCAAAATATCTGAGGGGAGATAATTCAACATATGGCAAGGAAACAGTTCGATACTATTAAAATGATTGCTTGTAATCACAATCACCATCGGTTGGTCTAAACAAAATCATGAACAATTATCCCAAATCAACTCAAATCATAGAAAACAGGAACTTACCTTCACATAAAGATAGAGAGTAGGGCAAGCGATGCAGACAACGCGAGCATGGACGCCACCGTAGAATGAGAACTTCTTTGGAGCTTCCTCCAATGTCGGATTAATACTGCTGCTTGGCGACTAATTCTTTGAGGGCAGCGACCGTGTGGGAGCTAATGCAAGAACTTCCGAGATTGTGAGCACCGACATAGAAGAAAGTGAAATACAGAGTGGAGAGCGGAAAGGGATAGAAGAGAAACGACAGACAAACAGGAAAGAAGAAATCAAAATTTAATATTTTTTTATACACAATTGTAAATTTAATATTATTTTATACACAGTTGTCGTTCGAATGTACATACGCGATTGTCAAAATATCGACACCGTAAAATTAATTATTATTTTAAATTAATATATTATTATAGGAAGAATTATAATGATAAACAAATAATTTTTAATTCTTATTTTAAGATTAAATAAATTTATTATTTTATAATTTATATATTAAATAATTATATCTTAAATAAAAATTAGTTTATTAATATAAATTTTAAAATTTTTTATTTAAATATTTTAAATTAATGATTTTAATATAAATATGTTAATAATTACTTTTAATTTTAAATCAAATAATAAATAACCTATTAACCTGTTAGTTTAATATAAAGTTAAATTATATTAAAAATTATTATCTATTTTAAAATATAACAATCATATATATATTTTTTATAAAGGTGAGTTAGATTGAACGTAAGTATTCTGTTTTAACAATTTTATATATAACCATATAAAATCTAATATTTTGTTATGAAAAATAAATAAAATAAACCAACAATAAATAAATAACTTTTAAAAGAATATAAAATAATCATAATTATGCTACATCATTTCATTTAAATACATATATATTAATCATATTATAATTCTCTCTTATTAAATCTTTATTATCAAAATGAACCTTATCACTCACCCATCATTTTCCATTTTAATAAGCATTCAAAACCCTAATAACCTTACATAGATAAGAAATAAATAAAACAATATATATAATGGTATAAGTGTAAAGTAAAGATTGAGGAAAACTCATACACGATCTTAGTCAGCTCTCCAAAACACTTTCTCTAAATTATTTATAATATTTCATTTTTGTACATGTAACTTTAATATATAGATAGTGTTTAACTCAATTGGTCAATATTCATTTATATTTGTAGATTCATTTTTAATATTAGTTATTTGTTATTATTATTTTTTATCATTAACATAACAATAATAATAGTAATAAAGTTCTTAAATGTTTTTTTTAATCTAATAACATATAGTACTATAATACTCATTTACAGTATTAAAAAATCAGTTCATTTAACGAGGGAGTTAGAGAATTAATTTCAATAAGATCAATATATAATTTTTAAAAATAAATTATAAAATATGTTTTAACAAAATATAAAAGAAATAAAATTATTTTAGCTTTAGGAGGATGAATACCTTGATCCCTTCCGCTGTTTAATAACTAATAACAAGAAACTCTATGAAAATGTTGTGTTTGTTCACTTTTGACCTTTTCATCTCATACTATCAATTTCCTGCAATTTTTTTTTAATTATTTATAGTCACTAAATTAAAATTTAAAAATTTCACTACATTTTAAGTGAAAATTTCAGCTCATATATATTTTAAGAAAATTAAATACTTAATGAAAAAAAAAGTATATATATTATGGTGAAATAATGTTCATGAATAACCCTAACAAAGCCACATGAATTTCTAATATTTGCTATATAGATAATCTCCATAAAGTGTCACTCACATTTTTAAATACAAAATATCCAATAACAACATGATGCTTCCTTATACAAAAACCATCCATAAAGGACAAGAATAAAATAAAATTGAATCTATTTTTTTTATTGTTAACTGCTTCAAAATATAACTCTCAACAACAAATAAGCAATTTAACACTTTCAGAGTGTTGATGAGTCCTTTTGCTTTGAGTCACCTTTAACATTTTTACTGGAACACATGATGAAGAAATATTAATTAAAAACATGTATTATAATAAAAAGTTGAAATTTTATGCTTTACCTTTCAACCATGAATGTATGTTAGACTAGTCAATTCAAAATATACATACTAAAACAGATAACTATAAATAGGAATGTAAACAGAACTTACATCCCTATTATATTATACATAATATATAAATAATAACTTAAAATATTATATTATTTTACCAAACCATTAATTTTGCGCTGAAAAAAATAATTATTCTATCTTATCTTATATTCAATTAAAATATAATTCTAATATCAAATCTAAAATTTGTTTATATATATATATATATAAAACTCCCCTACCTATCATTTTCAATGTGAAAAAGAGCTATACATATAGGTATATAGATAGTGACATTAAACTTTGTAGCTTCTCTAAATTTTATCATCTTAATCATTTCTCTTGAAAAAAAAAAAAAAAAAGTGACTGATTAATTAACGTCTTTAAATTGTCAAATCCACCGTATGAAATTTGTATGATATATGATATATGATATATGATGGGCAGTTATGGAAATTAACGAAGATTTGGGTCCATTTTTTTTTTTTTTTCTTGATACGTTCATCATCAAATTGGGACGTTCTTCTCAGGAAGGTCCAAAAAGTCAGTGCAGCGAAAACGGACGATCCAAAGAATACCCTTTTCACCTCTCGCTACAATAATCATCATCTTCCTCTTCTTCAGTGAAATAGTAAGATAAACCTCCTTCTCTTTCACCAATTTCTCGCTTTTCGTTGCATATATGACAACATAAATTGATAATTGTTCTCTTGTGGGGTTTTGAAGTAGTTGTACCTGACGATCTTCTGACTTTGATCTTAAATCAATGAAAAATTTTTAGAGAGAACTCGGGTATGCTTTCTTTTTGAAACATTTTTTTCTGGGTCAATTGTTTTTTTCTTTTACTAATCTATTGACACAGATTCACAGAATAATCTGATTGCATAGGAACAAAAAAGACAACACCTTTTCATCCCTACGCAAGTGATTATGGCGGTTCCCGAGAATGTTGGGGCCAAAATCGGTTCATCGAGTCAAAATTTGGACAACAGTGTAGTGTCATCGGACTCGGGCGAGGTTGAGCAATCAAAACCCAGAACCGGGTCCATCAACGGCGATCAGAAGCTGAACAACGGCGTGTTCAACCACCAAGATAGAGTTCCTACCACTATGTCAGTGCCCAATAGCAATTATAACTACAAAGCCCAAATGGGTCAGATGCACGCAAATGGGGTGAACAATGATGGGTATGGGATGAATGGGGACAATGGGGGTGAGAGTTTCAAGCGTGATATGAGGGATTTGGAAGAACTTTTGTCAAAGTTGAATCCCTTGGCTGAGGAATTTGTTCCCCCATCACTAACCAGTACTCAAGGCTACCTACCTGGACCTGGTGCAGGTGCTGGTACTGGGTTTGGTTTCGCCAATAATTTTATACTGCTCAATGGTTTTGGTAATGCAAACGGTCAAACTAACAGAAGGGTATGAATGAATTGTCTTAGTTTCCTTGGTTATTCTATTACTAATTTTCAACTCCATGTTTTCACTCTTAATATGATGATTATGTCTTTCAGAGGAAGAATGGGTATAATAATGGGAAGCGAAGAGTAAATCATAAGATAGATATGGAGAAAAGAGAGGAGATGATTAAGAGGACTGTTTATGTGTCTGACATTGATCAACTGGTACAAAATTTAGCTTTTTTGTTGATTTGCTGGTTTTCCGCTCCAATATAATATCTGCCACGTGTCTTTTTTAGAAGACTTATTGTGCTTTGTTGTAATGTAGGTCACTGAAGAGCAGTTGGCAGCACTATTTCTTAACTGTGGCCAGGTAGAAACGGTTACTGATTGTTTACAACTGGTGTTTTCCTTCTAAACAATTGTTGACTGTTATTGATTGAATGAACTCCACTTTCCTGGCTATAGGTTGTTGATTGCCGAGTATGCGGAGATCCCAATTCCATTCTTCGGTTTGCCTTCATTGAGTTTACGGATGAAGGTAACATGACCGCCAAATGTAGGCAGTTCATAAACTGTAAGTATTATTGACATTTCGCTGTATTAACAGTGTTGTGCCTGCAGAAGGTGCAAGGGCTGCTTTGAGCCTGTCTGGAACCATGCTTGGATACTACCCTTTGAGAGTTCTGCCTTCAAAAACTGCTATTGCACCTGTTAACCCTACATTTTTGCCCAGGGTAATGTGTCTTTGTTTAGATGTCTATTCCATTTACAAGATGATTTACTAGAGGGCTGATAAGCATGTATTTTGTCTGACATTCTTGTGCTGCAATATTTCTCAGTCTGAAGATGAAAGGGAGATGTGTTCAAGAACAATTTATTGCACAAATATTGACAAGAAGGTAGCATACAATTTGACCTTTTCTTACTTGTAATCCTGCTAGAGGAAATGCTTGGTCTTTTTTCACATCTGTTTTGCCACAATTACTATTCAATTATTAAAATTTCCGTTCTTGTTACCTCTGCAGCTTACTCAAGCTGATGTCAAACATTTCTTTGAATCTATTTGTGGAGAGGTTTGTAGCTTTTCATGTTACTAGGCTTGTCCTGTTTACTGTTGGTTGAATTTTAAGCATTATATGACTATATCAGATATTTTCCATTGTTTTTGGTGTAATCATCTGGGTTCAATGTTTGAGTTTTTGTTAATGGTTGAATTTAATTGGCTTGTAAAATGTTTTCCATCATTTTGGTGTATTATTCAGGTTCAACGGTTGAGGCTTCTAGGGGATTACCATCATTCAACTCGAATTGCTTTTGTTGAGTTCACTCTGGTAATTACTCATTAACTCCCAACCTTGTATTTTTATCTAACTCAGCTCTAGTTAACTATTTTTAGTTTGTGAATTTATAACCTTCAGATTGAGTGCAGCTACTGGCTTTGCAGTTATCATTTGGAATAATGTTGTCCCTTGCTCTTCCCTAAACTTATTCAATATGCGTTTGCAGAAATAACATCTCATCACTTACTAAAACTGTCTTTTCCATGTAATTAGAATAATCAGAAGAGAAGAGAGAAATAAATCTTGCTGATGATAGCTTTTTCTGGAGGTTTTGGCCTTTCCATCTTAGGTGTTTGATAACAAAAGACATATTTATTTCCTTGTTTATAGATGATACTGTTTGGAAATTAAAGGAAATTCAATATGTCAATGTACAAAAACAAAGGCTTGTCTAACTACTTGTGTGATTCTTGTGGGTGCACTCATGTTAATAAATGTGTGTGTAGTAATAACTCATCATTTCTGAGATTTACCAAAAGAGAAGAGCGAAATAAATCTTGCTAGGTGTTTGATAGCAAAGGGCACGTTTATTTCCTTGTTTATAGGAATATTGTTTGGAAATTAAAGGGAAACCGATCTCTGTCAATCTACGATGGCAAAGCCTTGTCTCACAACTGCGTTGATTCTTGTGGGTGCACTTGTGTCAAAGCAATTGTAGTAATAACTCCTCATTACTTACTAAAACTGTCTTTCTCCAATTTAAGGAGAATAAGCAAACCACAAGAGAGAAATAAATCTTGTTGACGATAGCTTTTGCTGGAGTATTTTTTAACATATCTGCTTAGGTGTTTGATTGCAAAGAGCACGTTTATTTCCTTGTTTATAGGAAATATTGTTTGGAAATTACAGCAAAGACAAATATGTCATTGTACAACACAAAGCCTTGTCTCTCTACCCCAGTGATTCTATGTCGATATATGTGATTGTTGTAATAACTCCTCATTACTTACTTAAACCATCTTTCTCCATGTAAGGAGAATAATCGAAAGAGAAGAGAGAAATGAATATTGCTGATGTTAGCTATTACTAGAGTTTTAAAATCTTTCCCTATTGCTGTCAATTGCAAAGGACATACCTTTCCGATCCTAGGCAGGATCTTGATTTTTCACTACCTTGGTTGTACCATTTTGTTTGGCAATGATAACTTCCAATGGCTTGGTGGATCCTCTTTGAAAAATATTCAAACTGGCCGTCTTCCTCATCCATGGAGAGCATGTGTGAGAAGGCATGGTGCATTACTCATGTTTATGTATCCATGGAATGTGCACTGGAATAACTATAATATGTACATATATTCCTTGCATAGTAAATTAGTTGTTTGTCTCTACAATTACCTGTTTTGAGAAGCTGTTTGTTGGTGGAAAATCCACTCCATTGATATTGCTTGCATTGAACATAGCTAGTGCTTTAAAGTGTTGATAGAACAACAAGAGAGGAGTTGGCAAATTGATGTGTATGGGAAGGTTCTAAGAGGCAGTTGATTGTCTTTGATCAAGTACTTTTGTACGCTTTTCACCTTTGAAGGTCCCAAAATAAATACAGTTTTGATGTTCGATTGCTCATTATGGTGCCCCAGTATGATATTTCTATGATCCTGTGGTCAAGTGATACTATATATGTGGATGCTTTTGCAACTGTAGCTGGTGAAGGAAATTGCAAGACAATATTCATTCGTTATAATATTTTACAGTGGGGTTAATTTGGTCCATGAAAGGGTAGTGGTTGTGACTGTTAGGAATCTTGCAATGTGATGGTGGGGCAAGGTGTTTTTTCATTTAAAGTTTCATGTCTCTGAAATTTTAATTTTTTTTTTTGCTTTTAAGAATGTCATGTTATGCTTACAAGTAAGAATCAAAGTTCTGTTTGTATTGCCGTTTGTCTTTTCTTTTTGGTTATCTGAGATTTTGTTTTGCCACATTTTTTCAGGCTGAGAGTGCAATTGCTGCTCTAAGCTGTAGTGGGGTGATTCTTGGTTCACTGCCCATAAGGTTGGATTGATATATCTCTTTGATTTCAACTGTCCTAAAAATTTTAGGAATTCCTTTAACGTCATTTCATCAATTCTTAATGTCTGGTCTGGTATGCATGCAGGGTAAGTCCCTCGAAGACACCAGTTCGGTCGCGTGCTCCTCGCCCTTCCATGCACTGAATCAACTTCTCATGTTTCTGGGGTTGATTGCTGCTCTGAGATATATTTACATATATACATACATAGAAACAGATGTGTTCTAAGGAACATGTGGCATTTAGTTGGTACTTTTGTCCTGGTGTCTTGCAGTATGGTTGTCTTCTTCCCCTTGGGGTTATGGCTTCTTTCTTTAGCTTGTAGGGTCGGGTCGTACTTGGAGGATCTTGATGGGTTATTTATGATGCATCATCATATGATGTGTTGACTTTGAAGGAGAAAATTTTAAATTTTATGATCGGATGTTTCTGACATCTGGAATTTATTTATAAGAAGCATGTTACAAAGCCTTCGTTAGTGATGAGGGTGTTTTTATCATGGATATTTGTTTCATCATTTTCGTATGCCATATGAAATATTGGCTTATTTTTATTAGTCTCACCAAGTTTTAACACCTTGTCTTGTCGGCTATCTCATGTCTTCAATTGTGTTTGTCATCTTATACTTGGGAAAGTTATGCTCCTCTCACCAACCCTGAATTTTGGACTCGGGTGGAAGCTCACCTTTATTATTTATGGAATGCTTCCAAGCTTTAGATACTGAAGTTGGAGGAATAGAGCCCCCAAAATATGATAATTTTTCACAAGTTGAAATCCAAAATTTGGAAAATTCGCTTAAGTCAGTTAATATTTGAGTAACATAAGATTATATTAATCTGTTAACATTAATATGTAGTTCAGTATTATTCAAGAAACATGTAACTATAATTGAAATGTATTTTTAAATATAAATTTTAAATGATATCAATGTATTATATTTGCAAAAGTGTTAGTTACTCATTAAGTTAAGAAGTCGTATTTTTTTTTTAAATTATGATATGTACTGGCTTTGAACGATGGAAAGTGTAACACAAGAAACATGCTAACAATCACATTTGTGGTTTTAATGAGTGAAATTTCACCCTACCTTCATTAGATAAAGCTTTATAAGTTGTAAATATCTAGTTAGCATCTACATGTTAATATCCAATAAATATGATAACTTGTATTAATAAAAGGAAACTGCCTTGAGATTTGTTGGTATGCATAATTTGAGTGGAGAGGTATGTGTCTTGTTTGGCACGTAGCGAGTGAAAGATAAAATGGAATTGGAAAGAAGATTTCTTCAATTCTTCCATTTGTTACATTCCTCTCATCATTCCTTTTATTCCTTTTTAAATGTAAAGAAGAAAAAGCTTCTACTATAACAAAATCATATAAAGTACTTTCATATTTATTCTTTTTCTTAATAAATCCAAACAAAATCTATTTTTACCACTTTATTTCAAGAATAACTAAATATACCAACTTATATTTATTTAAATATAATATCAAAAAAATACTTTAATATTCATATGTATCAAAGAAAAATATTATTTTAATATAAGAGGATAACATATTATAATATTTCTTTTAAAAGAGAAAATGTAACTTACTTTAAATGTCAATTTGGTAAATTAATTTCTTTATAGATTTTCTCTTACGAGTATGGATATAAATGAGAACAAATATTTATAATTTTATTGGTACGATTTCTTTAAAAATAGAGAGATATGGTGAATTTAAGTTTTTAATCTTTAATATATTCTTTTCATAAATATTAAATTTTATTTTTATTATAATATAATAATATTAATGTGGTATAAATGATAAATAACTTTAAAAATATCAATTTAATTAAAATGTTTTATACTTTTGACGTTCACATTTATTAAAAAGAAAAATAATAATAAAGAAAATACAATTCTCTATATCTCTAATTTATTATTATATTATATATATATATATATATATATATTAATAAAATGTCTTTAATTAATCAAAATTATTTCTAATGTAATAAATAAATTTCTTAAAATTCTATTTTATACGATAATAAAAATTTAGTAAAACCATTTTTAGTCAATGTAGGATAATGAATAGTTTCTAAAAAGAAAACACATGACTCTCTTAGGTAATTTTTATAAAATCACTCTAAATGATTTGCAAAAATTTGTAGCAATAACTTTTTTTTTTACTGACCAATTAACAATAAATATGGAAAAGTTAATATCTTACTTTTTTTAGGCCAGAGTATGGGAAAAGAAAAATCAATGATGAAAATTAGAGGTATTTATTATTAAATTAAAAAAAATCGTAAACAAATATAAAAAAAAAACTGAAAATCAATCAAAATTATCATTTTTATTATTTTTTCCTCAATTAAAAATTGTTTGTATAAATTTCAACTTCAAATTAAAAACCAAATTAAATTATTTAGTGTATAAATATAATATTATATATTTAAAGTTAATTAGTAATAATAAAAATACATTAGTGTAAAGATTTATACTAATTAGTTTATAGTTTGATTTACAATATATTTATATTTAATGAAACACAATATTTATTATATGTTTATGAGATTGTGTAATTTATTATATGAATTTGTATTGATTTTTTTTTATATCTCTTTCTCAGTTTCGAATTGGAAATCAACAATAAGATCAAATTACTTATTTTCTTTAAATGTAATATTACAATTTAGAGATAATTTTTAGTTAACAAGCATATTACTTATTTTATTAAAATATAGTATTGCAATTTAGAGGTAATTAATAGTTAACAAACATATATGGGTGCATCTTGATAATTGTTTTACATTTTGATTAAAGTGTAATTACACTATATTTATATTTATTGAAATATGATAGTAACTTTTCATTGTAATTTTTTTATAAGATTATGTAAATTTATAAACATTAATTTATTTTAAAAATTAAAAACTAAATAAAATTGTTTATTGTATTTAAATACAGTGTTATACGTTTGTAATTTAATCAGCAATTATCAAACATATATATATATATATATATATATATATATATATATATATATATATATATATATTTAAGGTTTATAATTTGATTATTGTAATTATATATATACTTGTACAAAACATAATAATATGTTATATTTTTTATTATATGATTACACGAGAAAAAAGTTAAAATAATATCTACAACATGAATTATAAAAAATTAAAAATATGTCAAATTTTTATTATAAAGTATTTAATAAGATGATAATAATAAAAATAATTAAAATCGATCAAAATAGTTCAACAAAACACTGACCGGATTCAAAATTTGTATTAAATTATAATCAAATTAAATTACGTTTGATTTAAATATTTGGTTCAATTTTTTTTTTAATAAAAAAGAAAACCACGAACACCCGAAAGCACAATATTCTCTTCAATGCTTTCTAAAGATTTTTTCTAAATGGTTTGCTTTATTAACTTTTTAACAAATTATTTTTTTAAGTATATATAAAATAAATTATGACATCCAAATTCCAATCAAGATTTTAAAATATTAAAAATAGAGTAAATTGAAAGACTAAAAGAGAATCATTTAACAGAATGATTGGTATGTTTGGTGGAAGAAAAATTATAACCACAATTTGTTATAAAGTTGGATTCGGTTGAAGCTTTAAAATATGAATTCATGTCTTTATCCATTTTAAAAATTTGGATTCAATAATCAGAATGAGTGATAATATATGTCCATAGCAGAACACAACACAATGATGAAGCACAAGGGCAGAGGATGTTATTGAATCTGGTGTCTATCTTTACTACCTATTCATTCATTCAATCCAATTTGTTTCAGCCCATCTCTTAATGGACAAACCAATATTAAAATTAGTTTTGCAAACCCTCTTCCAACCATGCATATTACACTTATTCATAATTTTTCGTTTAAAAACGACATGTTCCTAATAATAACATTGTTATCATTAATTTTTATATATACTATATTGTTTGTTTTGGAATCTTTATTTATAGAAAATGATACTTAAAAGAGAAAAATATATATAAAACAGTTCGATAATCTAAATATAATATAAATTCCACATTAAAAAAATATAAAAAATTATAATTCATAACTTAATAACCTAATAAGTTAAAATATTAGTTGAAAATATGTAAATCAGAAGAGAATATATTATCATGTACTTTTTCATAATTAGCTCTTATTCTATTATTGAAAATTAATCCTTTGAAAATATCCAATGTTATACTACAATTAAATTCATAAAATAATTATATTTGAACTTGTTAAAATTAATTACTGTCTGAAATTATTCCCCTTCCAATATAAAACAATTTTAGACATGTCGAAAAATTAGCCTAACTGTTTTCCGTCGCTATTGTGAGAGTGGATAACTGACAAGGTATGAAAGCTACAGACTCACTCATAATTTGCTTTACCTCTTCAACACGGCCCACTTATACTTTCTGGATAAGTTTCAAGTTTTTGCTGACTTTCCTTTCACATTGAATAGATTAACTCCACAGTTTACTCATTTTGTGAGTAACTTTTCTTTACATGACAAAATAACATGAAGAAAAAGACGGACATTAAAATTTGTAGATAGTTTATTAGTGGACCATGTCATGATTTTCAAAATCCCATTGCTGTATTTTTCAACATAATCCCCCTACCATAAAATAATTTATTTATTGACGTGTGTGACTAGATTAATTAGAAATTAACAATGTGTCGATACTTTACAATTTGAGTGTGTATGATACATTTGTTGGAAGAATGGAAAGAATTGATGCTATTGCTCTTGCAAATTTGGATGGGGTATAACACCACATTGGAATGCAAAGTATACGTTAAAAAGGAATCACTTGTTAAAAAGGAAAATTAAGAAAAAACAAATAAAGGACAACTGAAGAATGAATCATGTGCACCAGAATGCTCAAAAGTAAAAAATTTCGAAGACAATGTACAAATCCAGGACAGGACTCATTTCATAAGTGTCTGGCCTCTAAGATCATCTGTTCCATAGATGGATAATCTCAATTCGTTCATGGGGCACGGCACGTACTTAGAGCTTCCGGGTTTATTGAGCGGTGTCGTTTTTTCATTTTACTTTGTCTATTCTAGTCAATTGATGGAATCTCCTCATTACAGCTTTAAGTAGTTGAAGAGTTCTGTTCTTGGGGGGATTCTACAACTCCTGTGGCAGGTACTGTTCCGGTGACTAATCCTGTTCAATACACGACAAGCTTAAAAATTAGTGAACATCAAGAAAGTTTTAGTCAAAACAAAAATTTATAGCATTGTTTTGAGTTTGGATGCTGAACCAGTGCTGGGAATTGAGGGAGAAGCTGGAATAGGTTCTGAAAAGCGAACAACTGTGAGGTCCTGAGGCGACATGTCAGGGATGGCCTTTTTCGCATAGGCTGTTGGAATAATCTGTTTACTAAGGCCATAGAAGGGTTGCCAATACGCTGGATACCAGCGGATTGGAAACTGCTGTCCACCATATGCATTATTGTAGTTCTGTATAGAACAATAAAATTCAAATAAAAAGTTGTGATAATAGTGGACACAGTTTAAACCCTACTTGCATATCATGTATACCAATTTTCTACTTACATGAATTGGAATTATATTGTACAAATTTGGTCATATGCAGCATTCTAGCATATTTCCCTTTAGCAATTCAAAGTTGGTTGAAAAGAAAAGCTACTTTATGAGAAAACTAACCATTTCAAACAAGTCTTGTGGGTGTGTAAAACCAGGATACCTGAATGTCGGAGCAAAAAGTTCACTTAGAATGAATATAAATTTGTCAAACATAAAAACAACTCACTCTCACACGTTTGAATTGCACACCTGTAGACTGGATATGGAAATGGATAGTGAGGTATGTGTTGGTTATAATAAGTGGAGGTGCCTTGCAATGGGACTGCTGCCATATTCCATGAAGGGCTACTGAATTTTTCTCTTCCTGAAACATTTGAAAGTGTGGAGAGTCCAAATGTGAAACCTTATTAGCCACTATGATGATGGTTTGCATGCAAGTAATATTGAACAAATTTGCATAATCATTACCATGTAAATTTAGAACTAGAACAAAAAAGTGAAAGACCTAACCTGATATAGATGGATCAAATTTCTGGGCACCAAGGGCTGCAAGATTACAATTAGCTCTTCTTCCATCAATCACAGGATAGGGATTCAGACAAGCCCTTGCTGCAGAATTTGGGTCCCTGAAGGTCACCTAAGAAACAAAACACAACAGATATTAATTAGAGTGAAAGGAGCAACACAAAAAGAAGAAAAAGAACAAGTGCAAGAAGAGTTGAAAAGTGGGTTTTACAAAGCCATATCCTTTTGATCTTCCAGTGACTCTGTCCGTGATGACAACCGCCTCTAAGATCTCCCCAAACTGATCAAAATAGCGTTTGAGAGAGTCTCTCTTAGTCTCCCAAGCCAATCCTCCAACAAAGATCTTAGTATAGGTTGTGTCACCAACTTGTCTGACAAGGTTTGGACTCATCATCTCGTTTTGCCTTGGCTGTGACATCTGAATTCAATCCACAAAATCCTGAAACGTCGGCTAAGACACAGTCTAATAAACCAAGAAACAGACAGGATCCCAGAAACAATACTAGAAGCAGGATCAAAAAGTCAGAGTAGCCGTTTGTTTAGCATGAACAGTGAACAAATAATCAAATCAATGCCAGAGAAAATCTTCCACCAACATGTGCTCTAGTGATTCTCGTTTATTATTATGGAGAGGAAAACTCATTGATTTTCATATACAAACGTTTCCTCAGATTCCACGACGAAGATTCCCTCAACAAGAAAGTTATTGAACAGTAATAAAGAGGAAGTAAAACAGAGAAACAGAGTAAACAGGGAAAGAAAAAACAAAAGGAAATTCCCCAACAAAATCCAATTATTTATTTGTGCAATATTTTTATTCTTGTCTGTCATGATATATATAATGGAAGAGTAACTTAAAAAGTAGGGAAAATGGCAAATGGAGGAGCATGTAAAAATAAGACAAATAGTACTGTAAATATTTTGAATGTGAGAAAGTGAATTTTGATTATAAAATGAGTGAATAAAAGGTAGTGTTTTATATGTTTGCCCATATAAAAACTTTCCAAACTTTTAATGTGTCCGAAGATACGTGTCTTGCTGTATTCAACTTTCTATCTTCGATCACTTATTTAATCTCATTTATTCGTTTTCAATGTCAAATAATATGGAATATGAAATTATGATGCTTAACGCGTGGAATAATGTGTAGAAGCCATATGGGGCGTTTGGACCACGCACAAAAAGAGAAAATCCATTGACTCTCCACTCTATCTCCAACCATCTTCATCTTCATGTAATTTCCATTTCTAAAAACAGAGAACAACATGGAGGCAACCAAGCATCAAATTCATCTCATTTCCATTTATAGTATACAGTATCAATAATATCCCATCTACCTTTTTTATCCACTGCCACGGTAAATTCTCTTCTACCACACCAAACTCTGGTTTAGCTTTTCAGGTAAGGGACTTTCAATGAGAAAAAAAGTTGTCACCCCTTTAGGGTTAAACTTAGCTACTTAGGGTACCCTTCAGTTAGAAAAAGTAATGTTTTTATAAAGTTGCATTCACATGATGATGAGACATTCTTGATTGGATTAAAGAAAAGCAGGTGGAAATGATTTTGATGGGTTTTAGCCAACCGCATTCCTTCAATCAAATTCATTTCAGCGTCCAACGGTTGTTCAGCTTCTCTGTCAAGTCACGTTGCCAAAAACAAAACAAACTACACACAATTTGTTTTTCTTTTACTGCTATCTTCATACAGAGATTGTTTATTCAATTTTGACTGTCACAAGGGTAAAAAGAGACAAATTATTATCACTGCCACCTAGGTTTTCTTATTTTTACACACAAAAAAACATTTTTTTCAACAAAATTTATTAATTTAATTATAATCAATTTTAACAATAATTATTTATTCGAATAATTGGATTTTTCATACTATGTAAAACACACATCTAATGTCAGTGAAACATTCTTGTTTACATTGTTAAGGAAAAAGAAAACACAAACCGACCTAAAAGTTGGATTGGCTCAATTTCTATAACAGAAGACTTGATGTATACTTGAACGATGTTTATTTTTTGTTAACAGACTTTATGTATTATATTCATTTCATTCATTGGTTTTAATGAGATATTCTTAATTGAAAGAAATAGAGATTATATTGATAAATAATTAGAAGAAAACATTATTAATAACAACAATAATTCTAAAAATAAACAAATTCAAGACGTAATTACTTTCATAAATAAATTAATCATTTTTTTCAGTAATTTAAGTCATCCAATGAAGTGCGTGATTTGTTATAAAACTTTCTTACAATTATTTTACTTTAAATTTTTAAAGTATTAATCATTTTAACTTTTTACATTGAAACTATTTCATTTAAATATTTTAACGACTTACATTTACTTTATACTTCATTTTTATTAATTATGTTACTATTTTTATTTTAATAATACAATATCTTTTGATCTTACTGTAATTATTTGTGCATATATGTTTCATAATTCAAAATTTCTTCGTTATTTCTAAGTTTTAAATTTGACTTAAATTAAAAATATATAACTTGAGGAAAAAGAATGGCCCTAATATATATATATATATATATATATATATATATATATATATATATATAATATTTGAGTTTTCATTTTCAAAATAGTGCAACCATTTGCATGCCACATTATTATGTGTTATGAACTTTCAAAAAAAAATCTTGAGAAATCATTCTAAGTAAAAAAAGAAGTAACATTCTCCTTAATTATATGATCAGAAGTTGACTTTTTTTCTTTCTCTTTTTTAATATTGAATATGATGAAATATCTAAAATTTATTAATCAAATAATATTCCAAACATTAAATCATGTATAAACATTTAGAATTGAAGTTTTAAATCCATGCATTTTATTGTTTTAGCAATAAACTCGTTTTTGTATATATTTTTTAAATTTTAATTTTCACATTTTATGATTATATTTACAAATATACACAATATTTATTTTAACAGTCAGTATATTTTTTCTTAACATCATGAGAAAATTAATAAAAATATTGTCACCAACCAGTCAAAAAGTAAGGCATAAATTAGTTTGAACCATTTCTTTTTATAAAAATATAAATTTTTATTTATTTTAATATTTAAAAATAAATAAAGGCTCAATAATTACTGGTTATACGTTTTTTATCTAATAAAATGTCTAATAGGATCTTCTTATTTAATTTTAATTTTCATATTAATCTATTCATTTATAATAAAGGAATCTTATGAATAATATATTTTAAATAGAATCTATCAATTTATTTACCTAAACAAATTTGTTTACTGTATTTATATATAATTTTTTTCTATTCCCATAATTTTTTTTATTTTTTCTCTTTTCTCATTTACTTATTATTATTTTTCTTTTCTAACTTAGATCTCTCTTCCCTCTCATACTTATTCTCTTATTAAACTATTATAATAAAATTTAATAAAAATATGTTAATTTTTTTAATATTAAGATTAAAACTAAAAAATATTAACTAAATATTTAAAATTATAATTACAATAAATAATTTTATTTACTATAACATAACTAATTAATTTAAAATTATTTTATTATAATAATAATTACTCATCTAATTAAAAAATATCAACATATTTATGAGTTTAATATATACCATTATAATTAGGTTAAATTATGATAATTAGTTAAATTGGGTAATTTAAAAAAAATATTTATTAAAACCTTATTTAAAATCAATATTTAATTTGTTTCTTAATAATTATAAGGTAATAATAATATTATTTTTGATATTTCAAATTTTTCATATCATATTTTCTTTTAAAAAAATTAAATAAAAAAAGAGAAAAAATAAATGAAGAGAGAAAAATAAAAAAATGAAAATAAAGATAAAAATAACATATTATATAAAAAAAATTATTTTTTAATTCTTAAATTTTGTGTATAAATAGTGAACCTATCTAATTAGAAAAATTGTATTTAAACAATTTTTTTAATTATATATTATTAATGAGATTGACTTTCAGTCTCTAATATAAAATAAGATTTAATTATTATTGAGTCAAATATAATTACTTACGGTCAAATCAATCAACAAGTTTTGAATCAGTAATTTTACTAATTTCCAACAGAATTTTATTTTTGAAAATAATTATTCTTAAGCATAACTTTTTTAAGCAACTTAATCTTTGAAAATAAATTACTCATGTTACGTGAACAAACATGGTTATATCAGCGTTATATGATATGTTTTTTTTAAACAACTGATAAAATTTGAAAAAAGGGAATAAATTAATTTAATTTTAAAAAATGACTAAATTAAGACTAAAATAATAATGAAATGAAATTTAGAAAATCAGAAAAATATTAAAAAAACTAATTAACTTAAAATAAAATCTTAGTAATGGTAATTAATTATATCCAACAGTCGAATAGGCGTTGGACAGAGTCCAGCCCATGAAGGCCACTATCACCAAATTCCAATTGCTCTTTTGGACCAACTATTCTCATAAATTTCACTTTTAAACTCAAGCCACATTCTTTTGCAACAAATACATATTTTCATGATAGAAATAATTTTATTATATAATTTAAAATCACACTCATGAACACCAATCAATAATTTAAATTAGTTAAATTAAAACTGAATATATGATTAAGTCGAACTATCCATTCGATTGAATACGATGTTGGTAACATAAAAAATGATCGTTATTGTGTAAACTCAAACAAATATTGTTGAGATACCTAACAGAAACATAGTATCAGATCCTAGTTTACTTTTTTGTTAACTTTTTTCTTTTTATCATTTATTAGTAACATTTTTTTTAAGCATTTCAACTGCACGAAGAGTTTTTTCTCTACGAAAATAGAGGAAAAGTCGAAAAACACAAAACATGAAGAAGGATAAGGAAAAACACAGGTAGTTAAAATCCGATGTGGATTGTCCGAGGCAGAAAGGTTTTAATTGGCTTCTTCATTTTTGTCTTGTTCTATTCATGTGGTCTGGTTCGCCGCCATCTCCTTTTTGTCCCTAACAACCCATTGCATTAGAACACAACTTGCTCAAGAAGAGTCTAATGTAATGATACATGGAAGAGAAAAAAGCATACACAAAAGAAGGAAGCGTGTGGAAATTTGGTCCTAGAAAGGGCACACAAACTAATTCACCAAGAATTTTTGTTACATGGAAAATCATGTTCTTCGAAAGCAACTGAGGATTAATTTATTTGGAAATCCTATATGAATTTCGCAAGCAGTCAATGAAATTACTATGGATTATGGAGTGTGGACCATGGTCCTGGATTTTAGTGGATACCTCTAGATGAAGGACTGTACAGTTCTTTCAACAAACATAAGGGCCAAACACTCCATTATTTTCTGTTTCTCCTTTTCAGCTTGGATCTAAGCAAATAAGCCGTTGGAAACTTGATAACTTAATAACTTAATATCATTGTTCAATTTTAATGAAAGTTTGAGATGAATAAATCATGCTGATATGAAATTATTATTTAACTGTTAAATTAATTTACATAAGGATGTGTAAAGAATGCTAAACTCAAGAATATAAAAATGAATACACGACATAAAAAGAACCAAGGGAATAAATTGTTTATGTTAATCCAATAGTTGTCGTGTTTAATTCTAACCTGAAAAACTGTTGGACTTTAAATTTGATAGGATTAGGTCTGTTTGATGTGCAAAGGAGGGGAAGACATTTTAAATTAAGGGAGTTAGTAAGTCGGAATGGAACAAATTAAATAATAATAATAAAAGGGACTCTGTGGATTTAGAAGATCTTTGTCTCATCTTTTTAGCCACTCTGACAATGACATTCTTAAGCCTGGCCCAGACCACCTACGAGCACTTAAAGCAACTGCATTTGTTTTTTGCTTACTGTCTCATCTACCCGTAAATGCATACTTAACAACTCAACAGAACTATGTGCCTATTCCCATATAAGAACTTTTTTTTTTAGTTTTGCAGTTACTTCTATCTCTCATTAAAGGTTGTATTTTTCTTTCCATTTAAATTTTTATCAACTACAGTTTCAGTCATAGAAGATCTTTGAAAAGGTTAATTTGTACATAAATTGGTATTTTCAGTGAATGGTTAGATGTAGCAGTAGATTCTCAATTGGACATTGAATCTCATGGAAAGTAAAATATGAATGAGACTGTTACAAAAAGTTTGATTACCAAGCTTTAGACAAATAAGGTGCCTTTCTGAAAGGTTGTCTCTTTATCTTTTTCCACAAGATTTTGATCTTTTAGCTTTATATGGTATTGAATACAAGATCAAAATAAAGCACTTCTTGTGCATTGATGCAGCTTAGTTTTCTGATCAAGTAACGAGTCTCATCCAAAGCGTGTGAGAAAAATCTGTTGCTACCCCACAAATAAGCTAGATCATTGGAAAAGATATTATAACGATCGATAGCTACCCCCACAAATACATACTAGCTACGATTACATTTAATATTAGGCATGGACATGGAATGTTTATACACACTGATATTATTTATTGAGCACTCTAAGAGAAACAGCCAAATAGCAGTTAGCAGTTGGCAGAGGTTAACTAATATATGTTTTCCTACAACCAAATATAAAACAAAGACATTAATCACAGTACACCTACCTAAATTTTTGGGGCCTGTAGTACCTGAACCATGCATATAAACTGCATTTGTTGCGTCATCACCCTGGCATGACCCATTCACAAGATTAAATATAATCTTCATTCAACTATCCAATCCCTGTTTTCCTTCCTACCGAAAGCAAAATGGTAGATGGGGTTCTATTGTTGCTTCCCTTTGTTCTGTTGTGCCATTCTGTCTTTAATTTCTATCAGTATCAAACAACTAGAGCCGCAGAGCAAGTAAGAGGAAATTCAGCAAAAATCTTTTTGAATTGTTTAGGACGTCACCTAAACCATGAGGTGATGCAATTTAGAAAGAGTAAACAAACATAACCATACATTGGTTTAGAAGTATCACAACAACGTAAATCAACTGATACAAAATTACACCGGTTGAACTAATGATTTCAAGAGTTTGAATCTTAAGTATGGTATTGTTTTAAATAGTTAAAGAAAGGGTTTTATCACCAGCAGAGTGTATACTAAAAAAAATTGTGGTTTAAAAGAAAGAAATGTTGCACTTGAACACAAATATCACTCTCCATTATAATTATATCCAGTATAGCAGTTTTTTTCTTCCCCACCTAATTGGGACATGGTAGTTTGGTCCAAAAGCTAAGCTTAGCTGCATGCCCACCCAATCAAATGAGGCCACCTGCACCATTTTTGAAGTGCATAGATGTCATAGTCTGTTTATAGCACAACCATGTACATATGCATAATCATATGGCACTGTAGTTGCATCCATTGAGATCTGGAGGGGCTGAATAAATAGTTAAATGAGCAATGCAATATTCCTCCACTTTCCACTAACCGACCTATGCTGCATGCGTGTTGACAAATCTTTCATTTTCCATTATCAACACAAAACCTATTTTACATACTCATACTTTCTTGCCCTAATCCGCAAGTTTCCTACTCAACGAAAAGTAACCTTTCTACTCCACTCCACACGAAACAAGCCCCTCTATTCTTTTTTTAAGAATCCCACCTCACTATATATCTCACATGCTTCCCTTTCAAACCCGCAATGCTCACATTTTTCACTCAAACTCCCTCTCCCTTCCCCTGCTTTCTCTCTCTCACACATTCGCAGCTCCGTGCATTTGTCTCTATAGCTTCGTCTAATATCTTCTCCTTTAGTCTTCTACCACCTGATTTATACACCCCTCAGAATAAAATGGGCAATTGTCTTGTTCTTTGTATACCCAGTTCAGGGTCTTGCATCATGGCAAAAAAGGTTAAACTTGTGAAGGTAGCTAAACCAGACGGTAAGATACTAGAGTTTAGCACCCCAATCCATGTCAAAGATATCCTGACAAATTATCCAGCTTATGGTGTTGGTGTTTCAAAGGAAGTCGCAGAACCTCTCCCACCAGATCATGAATTGAAGGCAGGAAGATTGTACTACTTGCTCCCCTCTTTGCATTCCCCTCCAAATCTTGCATCTTTAAGGAACGTTGAGACAAGTTGTGGGATAAAGAGGGTCAAAGTTATCATAACGAAACACCAACTTGAGCAGTTGGTGAACAAACAGATCTCCGTAGAGGATATACTATCAGAGGTTCGAACGGTTGGTGTTAAGTTTCCAAATAATCGGAAGCCCAAATTGGACTCTATACCCGAAGAGAATGAGTAACATACAACATATAAATCCTAGCTATTTCTCTTGATCTTCTGGCTGTTTCATCTTTCATTTTCTTTCTTCCTTTGTTATTGTACCTTCTTTCTTTTGTAGTCACGGAACTTGAGGCCGTTGTTGTAGTGTTTTATGGTTTACTCTTTCTTTTTAAGGAAGTTTGGTTTGGTTGTAAAAACTGATAGAAATTAAATATGTAAAGGAAGACAGAGAACCCAGTATAGAAAAATATTTATAGGTAGTTTATAAATTCTGCATTCTCTTTGCATTGGTATAGTTTTCTTACTATATTTGTTCTCGCGTATTGGTTCTGTAGTTCCGGCTTTGATCATGACTTGGATTGGCAGGTTGGGTGATTGTATATACACATGTGAAGGATCAGTTTCTTTTCACATCTCTTGGGGGCTTATGACCAATTTGCTGTTCCAAAGACATGGTTTGGCAAAACAGATTTTTCATTTGATAACTAGAAGAGGAAGAAACTGACAACGCCAGATAATTTTAAAACAGCAAATTATTTCAACTTTTGTACACTTAATACCACACATTTAACCCGTATAACGGGTATATACGTTAAAAAAAAAAGAAGAGAAAAGTAAAACATGGTAAATACAGTGTTGCATAACACAAAGCCTAAGCATCTCACTGAATTTCCACATCAATAACCTTGCGTTCGATTTGGGTCTTAGGAATGGTGATATAAAGCACACCATTTTTCAACTCTGCCTTGACTTTGTCCTTCTCGCAGTTATCTGGAAGCTTCAAACGGGTGTCGTAGGAACTATAGCTCCTGCTCGACCAAGAATCATCACCACCTTGTTCTTGTTCACTCTTGTGGCCACCTTTAATGACAAGCACATCGTCCTCCACTGATACCTTAACATTTTCCTTGGAGAGACCCGGCATGTCAAACCTCATTCTGATCTCATGTTCTTCATCTTTGATATCCCAAGGGGCACGAATCTCCCCTCCTCCCGCGTTTCTTCCGGGAAATGTCATGGTATCTTCAAAAATTCGGTCCATTGTATCCAAAATCTGGCGCATGCTCCTCATGGGTGACCACGGGTCCAAAAGACCTGCAATAAGCCACACTACATGTCAGTGTTCATGTTTAACTATTTTGGAAGCAAGTTCAGGTAAACGTAGCTACCATCACTTTACATCACCCAAAGACAGGTACCGTATTATAAATTCCCAATGAATCACTTGAATTTCAAAATTGAAATGCTCTTTTATATGACTTTGCTTAGATTTTAGGTATCCGTAGAAATTGACTCATCTAGGATTTTTTAAAACTTTTTTTATAACTATTCTTCGTTATGCTTGTCATGGTTTCTGGCTTCAGGTTCAACTTTGAGTTTGGTTACTTATGAAGATTTGTCGCTGGTCATTATCATTCTGTTTAGTGTACAACAGAATCGAACCAAAGGATTATACCAATACCTGTAGGCAAGTTAAGTGTCTATTATCAACCAGCTTTTCTCTTTATTATTTATGATGCCAAACTTTGTCGCAAAGCTATCATATTAACAGGGAGGAAAAATGAAAAGAATATGAAGAATTAGTGGCAATGGTGGCATAGATGACAATAGCAACCACTACGACATATGTGAAGCATCACCAACGACAGAATCACAATCAGAATCAGAGCAGAATATATTAATCAAAATTCATAATAAATTACTTTGAAATCACTATTCCAAGACATAACAAAATATTTATGATGATTTATCATAATCTCCAATTGGATTACATCCGAGGTCTGCAATTGACATTCAATGAACTTGAGAAACTTATAATCCAACTTGAAAATTTCAAATTAATGGAATGATGCATGATCGTGACTACTAGTGGATACTACATTTGTGAGAACAAGAATGGGAAACTTACCAAAGGGTGAAATGTCGAAGGCCGTTCTACGTGGCTTCCTCTCAACCGCCGTCCCTTGGTCGCCCTTGTTAACATGTTGTACTTCCACAGAGTGGTCTTTGTTATCACCAGAAGCCTTCGCTCTCACCCTTTGTAGCCTAGGAAACTCTTTCCTCGACGGAAAAGAGGCCATGCAAGGGGCAACAACATTGTTCTGTGGCGTAACAGAGTACCTTGTTTTTGGTGACAGTACAAGTGATGAAGTTGATAGTAGTTGAGCCATGGGGATTAACGAAAGTAAAGGAAACGTGGGAATAAGTAGCCAAGGAATGATGTCAGGTATTGATGAAGGTGTGATATGAGAATGGTTGAATATATAGAGTGAATGTGAAAGGGCGAGAAGAGTCTTGAGAGTCTGAGAGGGAGTATGAATGTTCTGGACCCAACCTCGTTGTGTGTTTATTTTATCTAACTTCTACTACTACCATCGGGAATGATCTTCAAAAACTGATTTCACCTCATTTAATTTTCAATTTATCCTATTTTCTTTATTTAAATTCAAATTAAGAAAAAAGAAAAAGAAAAAGTTGATTAAAAATAGTAAATATTGAAAAATGTGTTCAGAATCTATTCCTTTCTTTCCTCCTCTACTTTCAAAAGTTCAAAACTCGTATGGAGTTTATTTTTTCCACTCAAAATAAAAGATTAAAAAAATGGAGGGCATTTTTTTTCTTTTTATACATGAAGAAAGAGTTATGAGAAACCTGGAAAATAGAAATATGAATGCGAAAATAAGCAAATTATATTATATGAGATTAAATATATAGTCTATATTTTGTCCTGTTATTTCTTTTCTTTTTTCTTTTTTTCTTTCAATTATTATTCTTTAGTCTAAAAAGTGATAAAAATAAAACAAATAGTAATTAATTATTAGGTAGAAGAAGAGAGGGAATTCAGACATGCTCTCTGGGCCAATGGTTATTGGGTTCAACTCAGCCTCTAAGGAAATCCGGCCCATTATTTTGCATACCAAAATCATTTTTAATAATTAGCTAATTTTATTGGATTTGGTATTTGATAATAAAATAACTAACTGACAAATTTTGAATGAAAGTTAATATGACAAATTCACTCCTGCAAGAAATAAAATAAGTGTCTTCTTTTCCCTTTTTTTTTTTTAATTTGTCCTACTTTTTCCATGCTATGATAAGTAGCGTGCAATGTGAATTTATTTTTTAAAATATTAGCTTCTAATTTAAAAAAAAAAAAGTGCGAAACGCTAGAGGAGTGCAATTTGTTAACTATTTATATTTATATAGCTAATTTTAGTTCATTTTGATTTTCTGCGACAATAGTTACTACAATTCTACAAAATAATGATATATGAACCTCTTTATTTTACAAATATCTGTTTCAAACTTTTTATTTATATGCTTATTATCTTTCTGTGTAAATTACATCATCAAGTTCATAAGGCAAGCATAGAGTGCTTAATTGCTTGCAATTTTGATGAGGCCTCTCTCATGCTCCATCGTTTTTTGGGTTGATCAGTTGTGCAACACAACCCAACTTTTATCACATCAACTATGCACTTCGAGCTTTGTTTCCAAGATTCAAAATCGTTAATAAGCCTTCCATCAGCAACCTTCAGTACTTCATTCTCATCCATGGCTGAGACAAATTTGTTAAGGCTCAATCCTTCTTTGAACATTTCATCACTTGGTTTTTTGGCTGTGAACATCTCTAACAGCAGGGTCCCAAAACTGTACACGTCGCCCTCAGTTGAAGTCTTGCCTCCTTGACCGTATTCTGAAACATATCATGACAGTAGTTAGAGAGCAACATACAAGTGTGTCTGTCGGTTATGCACAAATATCAAGTAAAGGAAATTGTAAAACAAAGGGAAACTCGATTAGAATCTATAGGAAGCAAAGAATTAATCTGTACCTGGGGCGATGTAGCCGATTGATCCTTTCAATCCTAGAGTGCTACTTTGCTTCTCTGATGTATTCTGAGAGAGAAACCTTGCCAATCCAAAATCTGTAACGCGTGCAACCATATTTTCATCTAGAAGGACATTGGAGGGTTTCAGATCGCAATGAACTATTGGTGGATCGCAGTCATGGTGCAAGTAGTCCACAGCAGAAGCAACATCAATGGCAATGTTCAATCTTTGCATCAAGGTTAGAAATGATCCTGACTTTTCATCTTCCCGGTGTATGTTCTCGTCCAAGTTTCCATTGGGCAAAAATTGCATGACAAGGGCCTTAAATTCCTCCCCGTTATAATCAAGGCTGGAGCAAGAAGTGATAACCTTCACTAGGTTCCGATGCCTAACATTTTTCAAAACTTCACATTCAGCATTGAAACTCTTGGAAGCTTTGCTTTGTTGCAGGTCCAAGACTTTGACCGCAAGCGTGGCAGTTTCACCTGTACTGAAGCTGAACACACCCATATACACAGAACCAAAGCCTCCTTTTCCAAGCAAGTTTTCAGCTGCAAAATTGTTTGTGGCAATGCGAATATCACCGTAAGATATATTTTGAGGTAACCCTTGAAGAGGGGTAGATAAAACACTGATTTCCCCCTCCTTTCTTTTCTTCTCTCTAGACATCATTGTCCAAAATACAAAGAGCGTTGAAATGGACAAAGCAGTAGCACCAACAACTGCAAGTACGATAGGGAGTAAAATCTTTCTTTTCTTTTTGCCAACACACAGGAGTACTCCCAATTTCTGCGCAGTTTCCTTGTTAGGGCTACAGAGGTTATTGTTTCCTCGAAGATCAAACTTAGTAAGGCTCATAAAAAGACCTTTCATTGGAACCTCCCCTTCCAAATGGTTGAAAGACAAATTTAATGTGTGTATATACTGGAGCTTTTCTAAACTTTCAGGAATACGGCCGGTGAGATCATTTGATGATAAATCCAAAGTCTCGAGGGATGCTAATTTCCCAAAATTAGTTGGGATTGATCCATTGAATTTGTTTCTCGCCATCACAAGTGACTTCAACATAGAACAAGCCTCCATTTCCTTAGGAATGTTCCCTGACAACTGGTTGCCAGAAATATTCATGGTCTCAAGCTGTTTCAAGGTGCCGACCTCAGGAGGAAGTGAACCATGCAGAGAGTTTCCTTCTAAATTCAAGATTCTTAATCCAGAAATCTGAAAAATCTCCCTTGGTATGGTCCCACCAAGCCTATTCATCGCCAAATCAAGAAAAGTTAATCTCTTGCATTGTCCAATACTTTGATGAATTATGCCCGAGAACTGGTTATTTCCAATTGCTAGGAGATACAGATTGGTGAAATTGCCAAACATCTTAGGAATTTCCCCAGACAATCTATTGTTCTGCACTTGAAGTTGCTGAAGATTATGCAGTGCTCCTATTTCTGATGGCAACTCTCCAGTGAAGAAATTATTTTCAAAGGACAAAGATATTATATTTTCAAATTTCTTCATTCCTTGAGGAATGTTGCCAGTAAGCGAGTTATAAGAAACACAGAAATGTTGGAGATTGGCAGATAGATTCGCAAACGAGCTTGGAAGCTCCCCAGCCAAATGGTTTTCATAGATCCGGAGATCTTGCAACTGGGTGGAGTTTCTAAGGGAATCAAAGAACTGAAAATTTAACAAGGTCGTGGAAGAGAGAAAATTGTTACCAAGGATGAGGTGGGTTAGGTTTTTCAAGTTGCTGAATGGAGGTATAGAGCCGTGGAATTTATTGTGTGCAAGGTCGATGTATTGAAGATGTGAGGCATTTGATATGGAATTCGGAATTATCCCTTCAAACATATTGGATGCCAGATGTAGATTCTTTAAATTTGGAAGAACATGGCCGAAATTTTGTGGTAACTCACCCTCTAGATTGTTTTCTGTGACGGATAAAAAGACTAAGGAAGAGATGTTGAAGATAGAAGTGGGAAACTGGCCGGAGAAATTGTTCGCGGATATTTGAAGAAAGGAAAGATTGCGGAGATTACCAAGTTCGGACGGAATCTCACCCTCCAAACCGTTGGTTGCCAAGGAAAGATTCTCAAGAGAAGATAGATTGGCAAATGACGGAGGAATCGGACCTGTGAGATTATTGACTGAAAAGTCTAAAACTTGTAGACGGTGGAGATGACCCAGCTGTGGTGGAAGTGTACCACTGAGATTGTTGGAAGATAATTGAATGACATTGAGAAGTGAGAGATGGGCAAGGTCTTTGGGAATTTGGCCATGAAAATTGTTGTTGGAAAGGTCAAGTGAGTGTAGGTAAGTGAGGTTGGAAAGGTGAGGGGGCAGTTTGCCGGAGAGGGAAAGTCCTGGTAGAGTGAGAGATTGGACCTTGTTTCCAAGTTTGGAGCATGTGACACCTTTCCAGGTGCAGTGATTGGAATGTAGAGACCAGGAAGAGAGGGCATTTGTTGGGTCACTAACTTGAGATTTGAAAGAAAGAAGGGCATCTGTATCAGTGTCAATGTTACATAGGATTTCATGAAAACGAGGAAGTAGGAAACATAAGAGCAAAATGAGTCGAATATGGGTCATGATGAGTAAAAAAGTAGGCAGTGTTGGAGAGTGTTATGCAGAAGTGCATGTGCATGTAGATATTTATAGCTGCAAATTGTAGTTGAAATGTTTGATGGTGCATGCAAAGGGCAAGTGACTTTTCTTTGGAACCAGTCAGCTGGACCCCACTTGTTCACCCTTTTCTGTTGATTGTTTCAACTCCCCTGTACTTGCCTGTGACAGGGCTATCATGCAGAGTGCTTAAGCCGCGAAAACCAGCTGCTTCGTACTAAGTCTCAATTAAAAGAATTAATACTTTAATCTATATCTTATCTTATAATAGATTAACGAATTAACGGAATAATTTTATCTCATTAAAAATAAAAAAATTATTAACATGTTTCTGTCAATAGAATTTATTAAACAATATTTAAATGACAATTTAAGATAAAAATAAGAGTAAAAAAATTATTCTATATTATTTTAATTACGTTTTTAATAATTTGATGATAAAAAATAATAATTTATATTTAGATTTGATAATAAATAGATATTATTAAAGTTTTTTATTTTTATTAAAAAAAATAATTTATTAAATTAAATTTTAAAATGTATTAATAAAATAATATTATTTTTAATTTTAAAAAATAATTATATTTTATAAATAAATCGGTATATAAACTTAGACATTAATCTTATATAAACATATACTTAAATGGATTAAACCAATTAAATTAGATCTCAAATTTATTTTTTTCTAAAATATTTATTATTTGAGTCGATAATTTAAGGTAAGACTATTTTTAAATTTTAATAATGATTATTATACATAAATATATATTATGAAAATATTTGTATTTTTTTACATTCATGATTATTTAAACTCAATTTAACATAAATAGTTAATTATATTTTTTAGTATTTTTAATCATGTTAATTATATTCTATGGAGTAGTGGTAGGTTGATAATTATTTTATTATATAATGTTTGTAGAATAATATATTTAAAAAATTACTTAAATAAAATATTTGTAAGTTTATTTATTTCTTTTCATTTTCATACACAGAATTTAATGATAAAAAATAAATTCCTCTTATGATATATTTATTTTCTCTCTTTCTTTATTTATATTTTATTGTATTTTTTGTCTTTCTCCATCTTATTTTCTAATTAAAAATACTAAAATGAAATTTAATAAAATGAGTGTTTTATCATTTAAAAAAAATAAAATTATTTAAATTATTCAAAAATACTATAATTTAATATATTATATTTATAAAATATATGATAAATTTAAGGTATTGTAAAAATTATTATTCTGTTATAATTATTAAAAAATATTTATTTTAATATAATAATTTTAATAAATATTTTTAAAATTATCTAATGTGATTATTAAATATTTATTTTAAAGTAACATTTTAATAAATATTTTTAAAATTATCTAATCTGATTAATTATTATTATTATTTAATATAATTATAATTATATTAAATTACTAAATAAAAAATATATTATTTTTTAATTAGATGAATAAGCTATTTATTATGATAAAATAATTTTAAATTAATTATTTATATCATTATAAATAATTATTTATTGTACTCATAATTTTAAATAATTATTTATTATTTTTTTGGGTTTAAAGTTGATTTAGAAAATTTATTTAATATATTTTATTAAATTTTGATATAGTAATTTTAATTATAAGAATAAGTGAAAGAGAAAAAAATGAGATAGAAAAAAATTAATAAATTAAGAAGGAGAAAAAAAAAATATATATATATATATATATATATATATATATATATAACTAATAAAGAGATATACTAATTTTATTTGAATAATTTATTTAAAAATGTAACATTGATATGATTGATTTTTTTATATAATATAATAATAGTAATAAAAAGTAAGATAATGATTAAAATATTATTATAAAAGAAATTTGTTAATGACTTTTACTGAAATAAAGCTTTAATTTATTATTTATGAGATAGAAGTGTTGATTTTTCCCACCATTGACTCAGAGTCTCCGCCAAGTGCCAAAATAAAATGGAAAAAGTTTGATATACGCTAATATCAGTCAAACATCCCACAGGAAGGAAGCCTGAAGACAAAATTATGGGAAAGCGTTTTTTTTTTTTCCTTCCTACACGGAACAAAACAAACTTTGTTGCTATGCAACGTATAACATGACTACATAAATTTAGTATAATTTTATTGTATTATCTTTATTTTAATAATTATTTCTTATTCTTTTATTTGTTTTATGACTTTTTCTTATGTTAGATTTTGGCATGTTTAATTATTATCGTAGTAAAACTTTTTTTTCTAAATAGTATAGAATCACTTTACTATTATTTTTAATTTGTATATTTTATTAGTATTGTTATATTAATTACTACGGTTATTTTTATCTATAAAAACATTTGTTTAAAGATTATATAATATATATATATATATATATTATAAATACTAAGCAACATTTATTATGTTTTAAATATTTTATGATATTTAAAATGTTTATTATAATATTATTCTACTATTATTAAAATTGTTATTTTACTATCGATAATTAGAATTTAAAATTATTGATATTAATTCATCTAAATTTCAATATAATTTTAAAAATTTTAATTTCACACCGTATATAATTAAGTTTACATAGTTTTATCTTTTTTTTCCTCAATTGAATAAACATTAAACTTACTGTTTTTTTTTCATTTTTTAAAATGATTTAAATTATTTTATTCAGAAAAAAATATTATTGTCTGTGATATTTTTACTATTATGATTTTATAATATTGTTTTCTTATTACTTAAAACTATTGTATTGCTATGGTACGTAGTAATGTAATTTTTTTTTCAAAATTACAGTATTATTTTACAATTTTTCTATATGTTGTTAGTGTTTTATATTATGTTTGTAAATTTTTTAGTTATAATATTTAAATAAGTATTTTTTTTCCCTTGTATTTTACTGTTTTTAATTTTTCATTATTAGTTTTAAATTATCTTTGTTAGTTCTAATTTTTCTCTTTTAGGTTCGTTTTGAATTAGAAAAATAGACAATAAAGAAAATAAAAATAAAAGAGATTTAACATGTTGATACTATATATATAATCATATTAATGTGTTAGTTGTCTTTTTGTTAACATATAAAGTGTTAATATGTGTCCTATATAAATTAAGATCAAAACTAATGATTATTGATTTTAGAGGGATTAAAAAATAAAGAAATTTTGATGGAACCAAAATAGAAACATGAAACTCACTCATTTTACAATAGATTTAAACCTGTTAAAGCCGAACGCTAAGTAGAATTTTAAACAAGAATGTAACGAAGAAATTTAAGGTCTTAATATTCTAAATTTAGTATAATATACAGATCAGTTAAACAAATAATTTAATATTTAAGAGGAGATATATTAGATGATAAAAATATTTTCATTTAACTTATTGTTCATATTATTCCACTTTCTCACCTTAGTCTCATCATAATATTATTATTATTAAATTAAAAATAATGTATATTTTTTTAATTTTTTATAGTAGCATTCACCAAATTGCATGTTTAGTGATAAAGTTTATTTAATGATAAATTTTAAAAAATTACAAAAGTTTAATAATTTTTATAATTAATTTTTAAAATGGTTTAGAGGTGGTCGTAAATTCTACGTAATGTATAATACACAATATATGAAATAAATTTATATTGCCTTCAAAGTAAAAAATATAAAATTTATAATATATCTATTACAAAAATAATTCCGACTAACATGGAATAATTCACATAATATATATATATATATATATATATATATATATATATATATATATTATTTATGTGAATATATATAATATACATAAACTAGTAGATTATTTTTTGTGTGAAGTAAAATTTTCACTTTCACCCAACCTGTCTTCAAGTGTACTTGACATGATAGTTACAATTTAAGTCAGAAGGGAAAGTTGGTCATTCATACTTAATCATTTATCTAAGATTTTCGTTTACTCATCATTAAAATAAATATATAGAAGTGGCCAACCTATATATATGAGATTGAATAAGTGTATTATCTGATTTTGTTAAAATTATAATTAAGTATATGAAATTTTTTATTTTATTCCCTTAATTTTATATATTTAAATCAGTTGACTGATGCCTTAGGATAGATTTGTCAATAATTAAAAATCCATAAATAAATCACTTACTTAAATAAAATTATTATTAATTTATATTATTTAAAAAATAAATTATCTCTATGATTTAGGATCTTATCCGCCATTGTTACACTAACTATTTGTTTTCTATTATCAAATATACTACTTTCACAAAAATATTAACTAGACAATGTCCACAAGATATATTAAGATATTCCAAATTTAGAAATTAATGTATATGTGTTTAAGGTGTGTAAAATAGGTCTAACTTGATAGATCAATATGTCTAAAAAATAAATTAGGTTAGACAAAAAAAAATTATAACTAAATTGAATTATACATATTTTAATTCGGTCTATATGACCATGACCTATTTAGCTTATGAATCGACCCGATTTATACAATGATCATTATTTTTTAAATAAAAATAATACTATTTTATTAAAAAATATATATGTATTATAAATTAATTTGACATTGATTTATTTATTCAATGAGTAAATATTAGAATAAATATCTAATAATCACTTATTTCAAGATCTAATGATTAAGATTAATTATTATTTTAAATTAAAAAATTACTAAAAATAAATATTAACAATAATAATAAGTAAATTTTTAATTTTTATTTTGAGATAAAATAGATGCATTATCTTATAAATTTATATATTAAATTATTATATCTTAAATAAAAATTAATTTTATTGATAAAATTTAAATTTAAAATATTTTTTATTTAAATATTTTTTAATTAATTAATTTTGTATAAACATGTTAATTTTTTTAAATTTTAATTAGGTTAAAATTGGTCAGTCTCTTATGTGTTTATTATATGTGTATTTTAATTATATATATTCACCCCAATTTTACG